TAATAAGCTCTTGATAAATTTCTGAACACAACAATGTAATCTTTCCTCAATTTGTATGGAATTATATTCTTAAAACACTGAATGGATATTAAAAGTTTACAAAACAAACTTTGAGTTTATATGTAAAATGGAATGAAGTTCTGAACACAATTTTATACATGTTTTTCCACAGTCATGAATGTCTGGAGAAATATTAGAAATTTGTGTAGCATTTGGAAGAGCTTTTTGTCTTGTGGGACTATGCATATCAGAAAATGTCTAGTATCACTGGCTCCTACCCTCTTCGGTGTATCCAAACACTAAAAACTGCTCCCACATATTTCCACTGCCCACCCAGAACCACTCTTCTTAGCACAACCTTGGGTCAGTGGGAATTGGCTTAGGCACTAGCTCAAGACCCTCCTGACCAAATTTGCTCTCAGCCAGGTCTGATCTACTACCATTTGCCATTGAGACACCATGATTTTTTAATTTAAATTATTGTATAAGATGCCTTAGTTTGAGTTCTCCCAGGGAAGAGACGGATTTGTATATAGGCTGGGAAGAACTCCAAGGAACCATATCTTTGTGGGAGTGGAGCAAGCATGACCTAGCAAGGGAGAAGCTGAACTGAAATGCAGTTGCAGTAGAGGCCACAGTTGATTAAATAGGGAGATAAAGAGCTCCCTATTCTACTCTTCAGAATTATTCTAACATGAGGCAGGTTGGCTGCCACAGGTGGGAATGCAGAGCAACATTTGTGCAAACTAAAGGAGATGCACACTGCTAAATAAACTTTTGACTTTTTCTGGATTTAGATGTTTTGATGATATCATGACAAAGGAAGGTGGAGAAGAATACAGCATTGCAATTCAATTGTGTAGGGCTTGTGGAATAAGATGCATCAGGAAACATTTATAGGCAAAGCCCAGTGAAAAGCTTTACTGTAACTGACCAGTAACGCAACAATTTTCTCTTTCTAAAAATGAATCATTAAATATTATCATCCCCACCTTACAGATGAGACAAGAATCAGACAGGTTCAGTGAATTTTCTTCAAGTTCACACTACTTGTGCATGACTATTTCAATCCTCACCATTCTAAACAACTGTACCATACATTTTCATACTAACAAATGTGCCAACATAACTGGTGAGCATATTAATTTTTAAATATTAAATCCTCACTCTTACTTCTTGTTTTCTCTTGCGCTAAAGCCCCTCAGCACTGGCTCAAGTTCATTATCAATTGATTTCCAATGAAGATAAACAGAAAAACACGAACCTTCCAACATAATAAACAAATGTGCAGACTTCCTATCTCAAACTTAAATCTTTATCTCCAATAAAATTAGTTAATAATAGCAAGGAAAGAGAATAGTGGCAAATATGATTTACTTAAAATGCAAACTTCATCAAAGCTATTGTTTCTCATTTTCTAATCACTGATTTTGTTGTTGCTATAAAAATTTATTTTAGTACTGGCATATACGTGCATCATGAGATAGTTTATGCTCCACCCCTGCCCCCCTGCTTTTGGGGGACTAAATACCTTTAAAAAAGGTGGGGGAACTAAATATATTTTGTTTCAGACAACGAATCCCATGGTGCATTGTTCAGATAAAAAAGTTTCAACAGTAAAGAATTTCCAAAAGTAAATACTCTTCACCTCTGTGCAAGTAAAGAAAGTCAGAAAAACTAGCAGAGTGTTCTTTCAAAGAAAAATTGTTGCAAATGTAGAGATGAGGTGGAACTAGAAGAAACTCTTTTGAGTATGTTTAGGATGAGCAAATGCCTAACTGAAAAAGCCAACAGGCAGGAAAATACAATTATTTAAAAACATTAATTAAATGTAAATGGAAATGAAAAGATCTGGTTAACTATGGGAAACAATTCTCTTAGTTCTTTGAAAACAACCCTTTTTCTCATTAGCCTCATTCAGAGACTATACTTTTCCAAGAGTATGAATCCGTCTGTCTCTCTTACTCTTCCTATCTCCTCTTCCACCCAGTGCTCTCTTCTCATTTGGCTTAGTATGCCTAAAATATTTAGCTGCATCACAGAATTAAGAGAAACAATGAAGTGCCACTTAACTTGGTGGTTCAGGACTTCAAACAACACCATTTGTGTTGGTGTGCTCACTTGTGGCGTATTGGGGAGTGTCTTTGAAAGTGGTTATAACAGAACCTAACCTATAATTTGGTATGGCTACAAGTGGATAAAGTGCTGGTCAGATGAAAACATGGGGCCAACCTGCATTATTTTATTTCCTTTCACAGTGAGGAGGGAAAGGACACTCACATTACCACAAAGGACAGCTGGCACTCAGTAGCACTCAAGTATTAAATGAATCAGCTGCTGACCTTACTGCCTCATGGCTCAATAAGTCAGCTTAGTTAACAGATCTTTCAAAGTGAACATTCCCAATCAGCAACAACAAAGTAAATTTGTGTGTATCTTTCTTGCTTTCCAAAGCGCTTGTGAAAATGAAATTTTTAAAAGTTGGACCAAAAAATGTAAACTGGGTTGAGGGTAACTCACATACACAGGATAATGCAAAATGAGTTTAGATGTAAGATTTAAATCATCATAGGCCATTTCTGTAAGTCTTTTGATGAGTTTGACCATCAATTAGAATGTCAGCCACCTTCTGACACAAGTAACTTGACCAAAAGGTCACATGAATCCACTTAAAATGAAACCTGAAAACCTAACAATTACCATTTTGACAGCATTTTTTAATGGCACTCTCATACAGTTCCTAAAACAGCTAATTGGTGTCATTCACATTTACAGTTACACAAATTAACACTTTCTTCTGAAATAGTTTACCTACCATTCAATGGTTTCTAAGATCACTCCCTAAAATTATTAAAGAGTGTGATTCATTTTGACACAAAATCACATACTGTCTCCTACTTTTACTATCTGACATGTATATTCTTCAAAAGAGAAACACCATATATTGAGGCAGTTCCCCTGCTTTTCATTTGTACTTCAACACACCTAACGAAAGTGCAAGCACACAAATACTGTAAACCCACAATGATTTTCTTGGTCTAGATGCATCTCTTTCCTTCTTGGCACATGTATCTTGAGTTTGTGACAATACCATCATTAAACTCATTCTTTCCATTGAGATGTGACTGATCACTCCACTTGATTCTATCCCAAGCAGGCAATGTCCACGTAACCATTTAATGTGCTGCCTTAGATCACAACCTGTTCAGCCTTTTACCTAGGAGAGCCCTATTGGCAAAAGTACATCAAGTAATGTGAAATCTACTACTGTCCAAAGATGTAGATGGCAAAAAAAAAAAATTCTTTGAAGTCTCATGCTGTATCTTTTGAAGTACATCACTTTGCATTCTATTCTATAATTCATTCATTCAACAATACTAGCTGCTTGCTCCATGACAGGCATTACTAGAGTACACTGTAATGAATACAGAGTTTTTATTTTTAACCTAGTAAAATTTAACTTGGCTCAAGTAGAAAACCTAAACAAAGATTTGCCCAAATCCAAGAAAAAAACAGATAATCCAAGACATGCTAATTATTGCTTCATATACCATTAGTCATGCCATTGCTCATCTTGGGAGTCTGTGTGCTCTGGTTTGAGAAGCTGAATCTTGGTTTAATTCCCAAAATAATGCCAAGAGCAAACTGAATTCCTACATGAAAAGACTTAGAAATGATATTAGAACTAAACAGGTTATATTTATTTTATCACAGGTTTTGCCTATAGTCTGAAATGACAAAAGTGGAAAGCCATTTCAATACCTAGAGGAAATGTATAAAACTGATGCTTAAAAACAACATGAAGGGGAGAGAGAAATCTTTTTTATTTTTTGGCAGTACTAGGGATTGAATTCAGAACCTTACACGTACTAGGTAAGCACTTTACCATTGAGCTACATCCCAAGGCCCGGGAATCATTCTTGATACTGCGAGGTCAAGTCTTCACTGAACACAGTATCACATGGCTCCTAACTGCTGTTTTAGCCCCAGTTAGTCTGCTTCTTCCACGTTCTTATGTATCTTTTAAACAGCTTTCATCAGGAGCTTTTAGGAAAAACAAAACCTCACGTAACAATTTTTGGATCTCTCCCTGCTATTCTGTTCTATTGCTCTGGCATCAAGACTGACTACAAGTTTCCTTAAAAAAGTAATAAATTACCCAATGATAATTTGGCTTTTAATAACAAAAGTCCAAAAGTCAATGTGGGATTGATATAGTTTTGTTTGCAGGTATGTGGCATGGGTCTTTTTTGACAACAGCACAAGTGATTTCCCACTGGATTTGGATTAATCCTCCATGGCTTCAAAGACTGGAAAACTCACATGAAGCCTGGCTCTCCCATAAGGTACCCCTACGTCAATCATTTCAAATTAATACAAAGATAGTCTTACACATATATGGAGATTGATTTGTGTTCCCCTTGCACACAGTATATAACTCTTATAATTCAGACCACTTCAGACTGGCTAATTAGAAAGCAGCAGGGAAACACTAAAACATACAGATGTCACAATTGCAAGACGGTAGTTCAATCAGGAGTATGCATCAGAATCACCTGTAGAACTGGTATGCAATTTCACTGTTTAAAAATGCAGACTGGGACTTACAAAGTCTTACCTGAGAAGTGACCTAAGAATAAACATCTCTTAAAAATACCACAAAATCTGACTCCAATACTACTATTATAATGAAATCCATTTTTTTCCTGCCTATAATATGGGTTCTGGTTTATTAAGACTTAAATTTATTGTGTCAGAAGTATCTAGGATTAATTCTGTATTTGCCTCAGCCTTCTAATACAAATGATAACACTTAGAAACCAAAGAAACAACGATCACAAGCAGAGAAATTCTGAGTTATTCTGATTCTTCATGTATAAACCCTCACATGCCACAGCCTACCCTCAAGTCTTGGTATTATAGGAAGGACTTCTCTTCAATACTAAATACCATTAAATATGTAATCTTCTGCTCATCAATGAGAAGACATGAACATTCTATATTTTAAACTTTAAGGTCAGTTTATTAAGTCAGTGATGAAAGTGATCAGAAGAATATTCTCCTGAAAATTATTTTTTTTCTTAGAAAAAAAGAAAGGAAAATCAAAACCCTCTCAGCATAGCCACAGATGCTGTGGCAGTCAAATTCTCTGCAGATGGGGACAGTCCATTAGTCTGCTGAGTCACTCCCTGGGTCAGCAGGATTGTAGTCTGGATCATCTTCATCATCCTCCAGCTCCAAGTCATCCATTTCCTGGAACAAAGACTCATCTACCTCCACATTGTTTCCAGCTGCAAAAAGCAAAACAAAATTCCCTCTCAGCTTTATACTCAAAAAATCAAACATAGAACTCACTGGAGTACCAGACAGAAACTTCTCAGTGTATATAGGAGGTGTCACTTACGAAATTCCAAACTACTAGTGAAAATCACATCTTTCTTTGTCAGTAGAGACTCTTAACACTTTAAAAGCAATTTCATTCCTCCAGGTCACAGTTCAAAAATCTCTTGTTGTTATTGTTGTTGTTAAGGGATTATCATAGAATGCATATTTATAATATGGCATGTTATATACTGAAGATATGTTACCCTGGTTATAGTAAGTTAACTATCAATGAGACTTGTACCAGGAATCTCTCTTATACTTGCTAATTAATTGACAGATGGAACTTGACCTTTTCTCTCCACCAGTTTTCCTTGTAACTAATAGTATCACTTCTCAAGATTCCACCTGTCTGAGCCCTACAGTAAGCAATAGCCAGGTTCCCCATTAAACATATCACTCTTCACTTTGTCTGAAGTAGATAAATAAAGGATAGTATAGCTCTACTGAATCCCCACACATTGTAATACCTTCCTTCCCTCTCAGATCCACTCACTGACATTCATTGTAATGAGAATATAAAGAGAACAAGTGTTGTTTCATGCCTATGAGTAGATCAAAAAGAAAAATATAAAATGCTAAGCCCTAGTCAAAGAATAACTGTCTCTGTAGGGTTTCACAGAGCAGATGAAGTCTAAAATATCTTTGTGATATATATGAATGGACCAAGAAGAAAAGATCAGGTGAAAGTAATTCTTCGTAGAAATGTATACAAAGGCAAGAATATGTCGAACTGGAAGGCAAGATTTTTTAGGAAAAATACCAACAGATAAAGCATGGATAAGAGTCAGACGGAGGACAGCATAAGTCAACCTTTTTTTCAAACTAATGGAAACCATGAAAGAATTTCAAAAGAGAGGTTTATGATTAAATATAGGTTTTAGAAATTCCATCTCAGAGGCAGCAACTATAAAACAGATAAAGACATTAGAAGGAGGAACAGATTTGGGGATACAGTTTCAGAAACTACTACAAAAGTCCAAGTGAAAATGATAAAACCTTCAAGTAAGGGAAGGAAAGTGATGAGAAGACATTTCAGAGGCAAAATCAATAGGTATGTTTTGGTAACTTACTGGATATGAAGAGGAATTTGATCCATCACAAAAGGAAAGGAATGAAGGATGAGTGACACTAAAACTTGTTCTGAGAGAATGAGATGAAGCTTTGGAGTTAGTACTTCTCAAAAAAAAAAAAAAAAATAGAGAGAAAGGAACAGGCTTGCTAGGTTTTTACTTATTTTTTTCCCAGACTACAAAAATTAGACAATTAAAAATCTGCTACAGAGAAGGTAATAAGATACATTAAAAAAAAAAAAAAAAAAAGCGAGTACCAACAAAAAAGGAATGATTAGCAGTGAGCCCCTTCAAGGTTGCTTTTTAACCTCTATAAACATAACACCTTTACAATTCTAACCTTCTATATCAGAGAAAGCAGAAGCAGTTTGAAAGGACAAAAGCTAGAAGATCCCCACCTAGCAAGATGGAGCTTGCAGAAATTTCACAAAGTACAGAAATCTAGGGTCATGTTAGAGGTGCGAGTGAGTGTAGAGTCCAGTATAAAAATATAAGTAGGCCAGGATTGGGATTCTAGTTCAGTGGCGGAGCATTTGCCTTGCAAGTATGAGGCACTGAGTTCAATCCTCAGCACCACATGAAAATAAGTAAATAAAATAAAGGTATTGTGTCCATCCACAACTAAAAAAAAATTTTAAAAAAATATATAAGTAGGCCATAAGCTCCATGAGGACAGGAAATTGCTTTATACTATTCTCTGCTATAATCTCAGTGTCCAAGTTATACAATAAATATTTATAAGTGTATGGATGGATAATGGATAGATGGAAAACCAAAAGAGGTAAGGGGTAGGAGACAAAGGAGGATAAAGAAAGCAAAGGGGACAAGCTCCATGAGAAACTATGTAAGTTAGTTGTGATACGAGAAATTTGGGGGAAACAGGTCATCTGAGTCACAATGGGCCTGTTTTCTTGTCCCCATAATTGTCTATCCCAATCTTGAGATTGCTTAAATTATCATAAAACTTTTAAATAGTATATTATTGTAGGATTAAAATATTCAGTTCAAATGTATTAATTGATCAAATGTTAGAATTTTTGCTTCAAAATGAATTTTTCATCAGTCTTGGGAGGAAAAATTTACATTGAATTATCACTCTGATCTTTATGGTTAAAATTAAAGACAACATTATACATATATGGAATTCTGATATTATCTTACCATCCTCCAAGAACTGGATATCAGATGTGTCAAGATTATGATCTGTTTCAAATAGCTGTTTCCCTAAAAGACACAAGTATATTTAACTAAAATGGCATAGTATTCATTCACTTTCCCTACGAACATTGAAAAAAAAAAAATGTAACAATTAAGGAAAACAAGTCTGAAAATCCATCTTCTGATAAATTTCAATGAATTATATTAATTCATTCAGTAGCTAGCGGTATATGAAATATATTCACATTAAAATGGAACAAGTGATAAATCTAGTTTATCTAGAGTCCTAGAAAAATGAGATTGCCTCTATATAAAGTTTATTACCTTAAATATTTCTGTATTTCAAGATCTATTATTTGTAATATTTGTACCAGAAATCAGACATAAAAATTCCTCACAGCCAGGCACAGTGAAAGATGCCTGTAATCCCAATTACTTAAGAGACTGAGGCAGAAGGACGACAATCAAGACAGGCCTTGTCATCTTAGTGAGACCCATGTCAAAATAAAAAATGAAAAAGGGCTGGGGACATGGCTCAGTGATAGAAGGTCACTGGAATAAATCCTCAGTACTGGAGGAAAAATTAATTATAAACTATACTTAAAAAAAATAACATCATGTTATTTTCTTTTTTGTCCTAGATGCCTACGAATATTATTGTCTTATAAAAATCTGTTCAAATAATCCTCTTGCTGCACAAGAAAGGATACCAAAATATTTGAGGGTAACAGAAAAAAATACGGGGTAGGGGAGTATCATACCACTTAATTTATTTTTTCCTGCTTGCTCTTCTTCTTTCATCCGTTTCTTTTTAATTTCCAAAAGTTCTGCATCAAACTTGGCCTTCCAACTTAAGAAATTCTCTATTGTAACAGGAGTGCCATGGAATAGTTGCTTAGAAAATAAAAATGACATAACTTAGCAGACTGACATGACAGTTTCACAAATGAAGCCTAACAATATCTTCTAGTTAAATAAGTACAACTTAGAAGAGAAACAATTTATAAGAAAAATTAATGTTTGAAATTTTGAAACATTTAATTTGATTTCTGCCGGTCCTGGCTACTTTCATTGGTTTTGGCAACTTGCTCTGGAAAAGCCCATTTCTTTTTTATTCTTATTACAAAAAACAAAAATAATATACAATGTAGTTACTATATTTACCACTGATATTTACCATTAAGAAGAATGCTGTCAGTTTTAATATGTGTTGAATACATATAAATTTATAAGAATAAATCATAGTTAACTTCGTTTCAGAATTTGAGGTTCTCAGATCATTGTGACAGCGACTTTATCATTCTAAACTCTACATGATAAGTAAAATATTTACATTTCTTGGTTTTACTGGTATGAGCTTTACTTATCTGACTGACTAGAAATCATTACTCATGTTATTCCACCAACCAAATGAGACTTCTAAACTCTTCGAAAAATTTACAAAATGTTTGTTTTTGTAATTTCAAAACAAATAAAAATTTCCAATGTAGAAAAACCTATAGTAATTAACCATATACAACAGATTTAGAGAATAAATGTACCTTTTCTGCTTCTTCTGCTTCTCTTTCTTTTTGTTTCTTTTCTTCCTCTCTTCTAGTTTTTATCTGATCTACTATTTCATTTAATTTTTCTTGCACAGCTGTCACTAGAGTAAAGATCATCACCATACCAAGATTTTCTTCAGCCTATGCAACAAAAAGGTGGTAAAGAACACACTTCTTAGAAAAATAGAAACTAGCCTAGGATAAAATGTTTTAGTGTAATCACTGAAGACATGTTTCTAACATGATTACAATTCAGTTACACCATATATTCATACACTAGAATAAATGAACATGTTAAGAAGTGATTATATATGAGATAATGAGATCTTCCTCTAAAAGATCTATGTCATTTGTCATACCCAACATAAAGCACGTATTTCAGTAAATTGTGTTTAATAATCATATAGGTAGAATTCAGAAAACCTTTTCCTACAGTATGAGTAACAACATTTCTCAAGCATTTCTCAGTATTTTAAATTACCGTTTTGAGTATTAAAAGCTAAAACAACAGAATTTAGACACCAGCTTGAATTTTTAAACTATTACTATAATAAAGACTGTGGGTACTTTTGTGCCCTTTGTAAGGGGCTTCAAGCTAACTCCTGTAATCCTCGTCAATGTGCTGCATCTATGCTAAGCATCCTAAATTTATGAGTAATAAGAGTCTCTCGTGAGTGTGAACCCATACTGAAACTGCCCACTAGAGGGTGACTTAATATCCAACAGTCACTTCAATACTAAATGTTTTCCACAAAACCCATTCCTGGGTTCTCAATCTCAGCAAACCACACCATCCTCTACCCAGTGTGAATATCCTTACCCATTTAAAATCAGTCTCTGTCTCTGTTGTTCTGCCCATTGTTTTCAAGCAACATTGTTAATACCCTATCCCAGGATACCATCATTTTCAGTTTGGAATACAAGAAACTTTAATTGATCTTCTTAAACCTATGACCTCGCCCCCTGACATAACTTCTCTAGACCACTCTACATATACATACATACACGGCTAAACTAATTTATATACTGAAGCAACATAAAACTGATCTAGTCAGTCTCTTGCTTTCCTCAACAGCTTCCCAAACCAATCAGAACCAAGTCCATATTTTTAAACAGTTTAGAAGACCCTTCTAAAGAATGGGGTAACTTTTTAGTTTCATCTCTTGTCACCATGAGCATTGAACTTTAAATTCCACTGAGGCTGTATAAATGGAAGTTCTGGGAAGAATCTCTCACTATCTCTCTGTCTACCTCACCACTCATCCCTCATTCTCAAGCTTGTTCCTTTAACAATCTTAAAACTCTTTGTTAAAACTCTTTCTTAAAACTCTTCCATTCCCTTGATGGCCTGGAAATCTCTTCCTTTAGGTCTCAACTTCCTCTTGGAAGCTTCTCCAATGCTTCAAGTCTATGACCATCCACACAATCCTGAATTTCACCATCATTGCATTGTTCACATAAAATAATGATACCCAGCTTGTCAGACCAAATTTCTCAACAGAGTATAAAATCTATGAGACTAAGGATGGTGTCACTTAACTTAATGCTTGACACATTTCATTAACAAATCTCAGTAGGGTATCTTTTATAAAAATTAAGTATTTCAATAGAACAGCAAAAAATAAATAAATATATCAATGAACAAACATTCATGGAAACTAAACAACTCAGAAATCATACTAGTTCCACATCACTAGTATTAGAAATGCAAATTATAAAAATATACTGTTTTCATCTTATCAACATTTTATTTCTTAATGAAAATATGTAGTATTAGGAAAACTGAGAAACAGATATCTGAATGGCTATCATGAGGTAATAAACTGGTAAAATCAACTTAGCAGTATGAATGAAACTGTTAAACATGCAAACCCTTAGATCTACCAATTTGACTTCTAGAAAGCATCAGACTAGTAAGGTCATCAGTAGTTCATTATTTTCGTTTATTCAACAAACATTTGAGTACCTCCTATGCCAGGCACTAGAGATATAATGGAAGATCTGCTCTAAGGACTTAAAAATAGTTATATAAGAATGGTGAAAGAATTATATATTAAATCAAGCAAAAATGAATATGTGTCTTAAATATACATACAATGAAATTTTATGCAGTTATCAAAAATGAGCGAAGATGTCCACATACATTGTTATGTGAAAAATGAGATGTTATAAAACATTATGGATGGTGTATAAGTGTAAGAAAAAAATCTGGCACTATATCATAAATAATAGATAATTATACCCAACTGGTGGGTTTAAGAGTCATTTTTATTTTCTTCATGAATTTTTTTCCTAATATAAATTTGTTTTTTGATAACTGGATATTAATATTATTTTTTGAGAAAAAGTACAATATTCCCTCAACACATCTTATGTCAGATAAGTATAAAGAAATCAAAACTGCCTTTTTGAAAGGAGAAAATTGGAGTATAAATAATAATATACTAAACACACAAAAAAATTCACTCAGATTCAATAATGAACATTAATGTGGGACAAACTAATATAATCATCCAAGGTCTTCTACAGTGTTTTAAAATTAAATACACTAAGCCAAATTACACTAGAATTACTATAATTTCATGCTGGGAAACAGAATGAATAGGGCCCAACATCAGCAAAAAACTCCTTCCTGACAGACCTTTTTTCATGCCTCATTCTCTAATAGCTCCAGATACTTTTGTTATAAAATCAGCACTCAGAGGACAATGGATTGGTCCTTAGAATATATAAGTCACATCTAAAGTTAAGAGATGTTTTTTGGATAATTCTTAGAAATAAACAAAATTGGGACTTCGGATTTTAAAATGGTAGAGTAAAATCTTTCACTTGTGCCGCATCCCGGCTGGCTGGGCAAAATAACCAGGGGGTAACGAGCAACTTGTGTACGTTGATACAGCAGGAGTGGGAGCCATTTATTGTAGGACAGGAGGGGTATATATACATTCCACACAGCTTATCTTAATTAACATAAACTAGATACAGCAGTCAACCAATAAGGAATCTCCACACTTAATGGCTTGCTATTACTTCACAAACCACTCCCTCTGCAAAATGCCGCGCCATCTTGACTTGTTTACAGACTCTAACACACTTGCCTTCCTTACTGTATCTAAAGAACCCATGAAAACTTTCTACCAAAGCATGATAAGCCCTCACTGTGGACAGCCCATTCTGCCCTAGTCTAGTATGAACTTCCCAATATTCACTTTTTCTTCCATACAAGTTTCTCCTTTTGGAGAGGTCATAAGCCATTATTGGTATTTCTAAGAATAGTGATGAAGAGCCACCCAGGGAGGAAAAAAAAAAAATCGCAGGCCTCTTCCCAGACTGCAGGGTACTAACCTATAATATTAAGTGAGAGGGGGTAGAAGTTTTATTTTTTCCTAAGTTGAAATTCTTGCTGAGCATGGTGGCATATACCTGTAATCCCAGCTACTTGGGAGGCTGATGCAGGAAAAAGACGCAAGAGGGTTACAAGTTTGATACCAGCCTGGGCAACTTAGCAAGACTCTGTCTCAAAATAAAATGTAAAAAGAGCTGGTAGTATAGCTCAGTGGTAGACTACATGCGAAGCAAGCACTCTACCAACTGAGCTATAAAACCAGCCCCCTGGGGTTTGATCCCTAGTAACACACACCCACAGTTTCATTTTTTAGCTACACATGTGACTAGACAATCCAAGGACCAAATTAGAACTGTGTTTATAACTTAAAGAACTTGTTGGGCTTTTTTATTACTTAAAGAGAACAGATAAGTCAGGGGCTGGACTGAGCTTTAAATAGGCACACCTTTTATTACTAGAACTTTAAAGGGACAGTGAGAAACAAAAAATAAAGATGCTTTGAATGCATCTTAAATTTGGTTTGGTAAATGTACTACTTAAATATTTAATGGCATTTTTCTAACTCTTAGATTAATGTATAATATTTAGGGCCAATGAAATAATATCACTACTATAAAACAAAACTATTTCCTTACCTGCAATGCTAATAATTTTAAAATGTCTGTGACATCATTATCTTCTAGGTTTTCCTGGGAGAATATTTCATAAAGGGGAGCTTCATCTGGGTATTTTTCACTGTATGTAAACTTGAGTGTAGTCTGAACAGCTAAGACACAAGAAAGAGTTTGATGTGAATACATTAAAAGTATAGAGACTGGTATTTTTGTTGAATCAGTAATTCATTTACAATGTGTCAATGAAAAGTAGTAATAGATTTTCCCACAATGAAAACTAAGGCTATTAAGATAGAAAATCACTAGTATAAACAATATATATAACAAAAACAATTAAATACCCAAAATAACTTTTTACATATGAAACACATTTACCACCAACTGGCATTTTACTATACTATTTTTCTGAAAAAAAAAAAAAGATGAACAAAAACTACTTTTTTATTTCTTCTTAAATCTTCCCTGAGATAAACAAAAAGCAATGATCATTAGAAATAAAATAAAATTCTATCATAGGCTCATTTTCATCCTCTCTCATAGCCAGATATGGTTATAGCCCTGGAATTTACATTTATATCTGCACAACAATAGCAGGACATTGCTATCTGGTGGCTAAATGACAGTTCTGAACTAGATATTTTGAGAAATTATCTGGAAAACGTTTAACTTGATTCAGCTATACATTCTCATTTGCTCTTTTGACGTGCCATTTTACAGATCTGACTCTTGTGCAGTAATAAAATTCTTAAGGGTATATTAGTGCAAGCTGTCACTCTACAACCCAACTCAGTGAGTTCTCTATTCCACCAGGCAATGTGAAGTTAAGCAGCACTGCTATGCATTTCCTGTTCAAAGTTGTATTAATCAAAACGATCTTCTGTCTAGAATTTTAATCATTAAAAACCTGCCTTTGATGAAGTAATTTCAAATCCATATAGCTCTCCATACAAGGGGTAGGGGGAGGTACCTTAAAATTTTCAGATTTGATATTTGTTTTTAATCTTCATGTATGATGTCAATAAAGAATTTTATGAGTAAATCAACACAAAGGATTGAGTGCTAAGGGTCAGGAAGAAATAATATCAATGTCTCTTGACATTCTTCTTTCTTCCCTTTTTAACACATTTCTAATTTTACTACAAAAATAAAATTTATTTTTATTTTTCCCTAGGTTTTTTAAGGCATCCTTGACAAAATTATTTATATTTAAGATATAAAACATGATGTTTTAAAATACATATGTATTATAAAATGATTATTATGGTCAGGTCAAGTCAATTAACAAAACTATCACCTCCCACAGTTATGATTTTTATTGTATATGTAGTAAGAATATTTAAGATCATAAACTTATTCATCTTGCACTGAACCTAGATAACCTTTGACCAACATCTCTCCCTATTCCCTTAGCCCCAGCATTTAAAAAACCAATTTGTCAAAGAAAAAATTAAAATGGAAATCAAACTATCTGGAAGCCAAATGAAAATGAAAACACAAAACACCAACACTTGTGGGTGGTAGCAAAAGCAGTTTTAAGAGGGAAGTTCACGACAATAAATGCCTCCATAAAAAAGGAAAAAAGTCTCAAACAACCTAACTTTACACATCAAAAGAATCATAAGGGAGAAAAAAAAAGTAAGCTTTGGGGGGCCCGTGCTTGAGCTACTTTAATAGCCTCTACTCAGCCTTGGAGCCAAGGAGATTTTGGTCTGGCAAAGCTGGTGATGACCTCAGTCTTCAATCAGCTAGAGAGGCTGCTCTGTACCTGGGGACTTGGGCGTTACCCACTGGGCTTGGACAGCCCTCCTCCTGCCTTATTTGGTAAAAGAACATTCCACTGAAATCCTTTGAATCCCCATTATATAAATAAAGCAAATGCAGACTCTTCTCTCTCTCTCCTTCCAGTGTGGAAGCAGGATCCCTAAGGTCGCAGAGCCCTTCTACCCTCGCTTTTCAAATTATTTACGTGTCATGTGATTTTTTTTGCGGTATTTCTCAGCCCTAGAACATTTCACACAAGGGAAACCCAAATTTCATAGGCCATGTGGGACACAGGAGAGAAGTATAAGGATTGAGATTAAGAACAAAATCAGCAGAAGGAAAGAAATAATAAAAATCAGAATGGAAATAAATGAAACATGGGCCAGAAAAACATGAGAAAAGATCAATGAAACTTGACTATAAAAAAAAAGACCCAAATAAATGAAAATTGAGACTTTTACAACTGATACCAGGGTGGGTGATGTTTATTTTATGATACAAAGTTTCAGAAAGGGTGAATAAATTCTAGAGATCAAGTATACATCATAGTGACTCTAGTTAATAATGTTTTTTTGTTTTTGTGTTTGAAGTGCTAGGGATAGAACTCAGGTCCTTGCACATGGTAGGAAAGTGCTCTAACACTGAACTCTACCCCAGTCCAATAATAATATATCATATACTTAAAAATTGCAAAAAGATTAATATTAAATGGTATCACCACAAAAATATTTTAATAAATACCTAAAATTCACCATTGTTGGCATATTACTTCTTTCCTCTATAAATGTAGTTTTATATAATTTATTTGTTTCATGATCATTATATTAAGAATATTCTTTAATACATATTTTAAATAATGGTAAATTGAATTACATCCTGTAGGTATATTAAAATGCATTTAGTATTTTTAAGGATTAAATTTTTTAAAAAATAATATTTATTGATTATACTATTAGAAATACCAGACATTCATTACAGAAGACCTAGGAATACAATAAGAGAAAATAAAATCACAAGTAATCTTATCATTGGGAAGAGCTCAAGGTATAATTATTTTTAAAAAAATATCAGAAGTATTTCTAAAAATACACTTTAAAGTATGTTTCCATAGATACATTTACATTTCAAACAAAATTACATAGCCATAACATTATTATTAATTATACTCATAATGCTGTGCATGATTTACTCTTTCATAATATATGCATAAAGATCATCAGGAATCACAAATGCATCCCTCCCAATTCCTTAAATATTAAATATAAACGTACTTCCATTATATAAATTGGCCACCATTTATTGGTTAAGATATAAACTACGATTATAATAACATTCTTGTATGCATTTTATTTGTGCATAAAAGTTTCCTCAGAATAAATATTCCATGAGTATCTACTTATCAAGGATACAAATATATTTAAATCTCTAATGAATCAATGAAAATGAATGAATCAGTGGAAACCCAATGGCTTTCCTAAACATGTATACAAGTTTAAACTCACTCCCAGTATCATACTGTTGTCTCCTCATCAGTATTGATAATGTGTTGGATGACATGTTATTTTCACTTTAATTTACCTTTTTAATTACTAGTGAGATTAATTTTTTGAACAATCATTTATAATGTTGCCTCTAGAAATCAGACATCCATTCCATTTGCCTGTTTTTCTACTAGTTGGTTCATTAAAATGAAGTTTTAGAACAAAAATAGTATAAACTAATAATTATTTCAAACAAATTTAAAAAGTATTTCTCAAATCAGGAATGATGAACTGTATAGAAATATTATTACAGAGCTATTATTAGCTCCTAATAAAACTATTGCTTAGAATATGGGAACGATATGCAGGAATTTTTAAATTTTATTTTTCATTTAAGTATACTCTTAAAGAAAACTATCTTTCTGGATTCTTTTATCAATGAGCACTGTCACACCAATTCTGGCACACAAAACTGCATCATATGAACCCACATAATATCACCAACTTCTTTATAAAGAAAAGTTTCAAATAGTGAAGAGCAGAGGGCACAGTATTTACTCTTACTGGGATATATTATAGGCATTTTTTATTGACCTACCTATAAGAGTACATTCGTTATCAATTTAGTAAAAAATAACTATATCCAACATCTTTTTCATTCAGATTTCAAAATATTTCAGTGCTCACCTTATTTTCAAAGGTACAAGACAGATTCAGAGTTATCAAGTGAGACCATTAACAGTTCTTACTTACCAGCCTAACAGGGAAAAAAAAAAATCTTGGGACTAATGCCAATTTATATACCACTTCTGTCAAAGCACTATTTTAACTGAACTAGACTAAAGGTAGAAATGAACTTCAGATGCCATCTCCTTGATGATCCACCAAACTTAAGTGAATTTAATTTTAACTTATTGGTTTTATAGCTGCTTTATTTTAAGAGAGAAAATACAAAGATATGTATATATCCAGTCTCATTTATAATAGCAATGTTATAAATTAACAATCTACAATGTTTAGTATGACAAATAACAATCTACATGTTTAGTATGAAAAATACTAGTCACTCAATGGAATACCATACGATCACTGAAAAACATTTGTATGCAAAGTCTCATTTTAGGCAAAAATCTCCCCCCATTTCTCCATTTGCTATATTGCTAATGTGTCTCTTTTACTTGTAAAATGAAGCATATTGTGCAAGACTATATCTCATCGACTTCCTTTTTTTCTAGGAGTTATGTGTATATAGGAAATACCAATTAGAAACACATCATTCATGTTAGATTCTTAATAGCACCTTAGCACCTTCACACCTGCAATGCCTAGCACAATGGCTGCAGAATCAGTGAAAGTTCTGAGAAAGAAGCTTACAAAAACCACAAGTACTTTTATGACACTTACTTTCATCATTTTCTCCAGCCTCAGATGTCACAGTAATGGTGAAGCTGGGTGGATTTTCTGATAATACTGCAAGAAAATACACACAGATGTTATTATTCTGCTTCCTATGGCAGATTTTCTTCCTTATTAACATTTGATCATTACCCAGGCTTCAAACTGCTTCCTAGCCTATATTTTCATTTCCAGAAATACAGACTGACCAGAATATTGAAATGATAAAACCTATATCAATTTTCTATGTAAATGAGTTTTCTTTAATTTACAAAGAAATATCTATCTTTATGTTTTACCAAATGAAGCATTAAGTAATTTAACTTTTATTACCTACACATGAAAAATTCAACTCCTAAAAACCTCAAACAGAAAGGTAAAGAGTTTGATGATGTTTGGCACCAGACACTGCCCGCTGATATTCATGATATTCACTGACTTTCATACTTCTTGTTCTTTTCCACTTTGTTAAGTGTAATCAAACTTAATCCTTTCACAGATACTTATTAAGCCTCCATCATCTTTCATGGAATTATAAAAGGAATTAGTTTTGAATCAAAACATTTAATTGCTTATAGTTTATTAAATGAGACATGTAAGTCAACATTTACATAAGAAAACTTTATAAATTATTTTACAGCTTCATACCTAACTAAAATTACATCTTTTTATCATCTTTTTCCCCATAAAAATATTATAAAAATTCTAGAGACCTCCTAGATCAATGCCTGGCAGAATTAATAAATATTGGCTTAATGAAAGACGGACTAAACTAATGGAAGAAAAGGAGAGACACAAAGGAACAGATTCAAAACCAGATGAAAACCAAGGAAACTTCAAGCTACAGGGAAGGCTGCTTACGCCTATCAGGAAAGCCTATGTCTTACTTCGTGCCTGGGAAGCACCGGCATCTGCACTGGCAGCAGATCTGCAGACTTTGTGAAATGAAAGAGCAAGGAATCACTCAAGAAATCATTACGGAAACTACTTGGCTTTATCAGAGCGGCCCAAAGCTATCATA